AACTAGTAAGTGTTATGTGTCTGAGACCGGATTTGAACTCAGGTCCTCCTGACTCCAGGGCTGGTGCTCTATCCACTGCACCACCTAGCTGCCCCTATTCTCTCTTTTGACTCTGTCCCTCTTCAAAAGTGTTGGCTTCTGATTACCCCCTCCACCAATCTGCCTTCCCTTCTATCATCTCCCCCCTCTCTTATCCCCTTCCCCCCTATTTTTATGTAGGGTAAGATAGATTTCCTTATCAAATTGAGTGTGTATGTTATTCCTTCTTGAAGTCAAATCCAATGAGAGTAAAATTCATTCATTTCCTTTCACCTCCCTCCCCTTCCCCTCCACTATAAAAGCTTTTTCTTGCCTTTTTTATGTGAGATAATTTACTCCATTCTACCTCTCTCTTTCTCCTTCTCCCAGTATAGTCCTCTCTCACCCCTTAATTTTATTTTTTAGATATCATCCTTTCATATTCAACTCACCCTGTGCCCTCTGTCTATTTCTATCTATATATCTGTATGTCTATATCTATATATATATGTTCCCTCCAACTACCCTAATACTGAGAAAGATCTCATGAGTTACAAATATCATCTTTCCGTGTAGGAATGTAAACAATTTAACCTTAATAAGTCCTTTATGATTTCTCTTTCCTGTTTACCTCTTCATGCTTCTCTTGAGTCTTGTATTTAAAAGTCAGATTTTCTATTCAGCTCTGGTTTTTTCATCAAGAATGCTTGAAAATCCTCTATTTCGCTGAATGTCTGTTTTTTTCCCCTGAAGGATTATACTTAGTTTTGCTGGGTAGGTGATTCTTGGTTGCAATCCTATGTCCTTTGCCCTCCAGAATATCATATTCCAAGCCCTGCAATCCCTTAATGTAGAAGCTGCTAAATCTTGTGTTATCCTGATTGTGTTTCCACAATACTTGAATTATTTCTTTCTAGCTGCTTGCAATATTTTCTCCTTGACCTGGGAACTCTAGAATTTGGCTATAATATTCCTAGGGATTTTCCTTTGGGGATCTCTTTCAGGAGGTGATTGGTGGATTCTTTCAAGTTCATTTTACCCTCTGGTTCTAGAGTACCAGGGAAGTTTTCCTTGATAATTTCTGAAAGATGATGTCTAGGCTCTTTTTTTTTTAATCATGGTTTTCAGACAGTCCAATAATTTTTAAATTATCTCTCCTGGATCTATTTTCCAGGTCAGTTGTTTTCCCAATGAGATATTTCACATTGTCTTCTATTTTTTCATTCTTTCGGTTTTGTTTTATAATTTCTTGATTTCTCATAGAGTCATTAGCTTCCATTTGCTCCATTCTAATTTTTAAGGAATTATTTTTTGTCAGTGAGCTTTTGGACCTCCTTTTCCATTTGGCCAATTCTGCTTTTAAAGGCATTCTTCTCCTCATTGGCTTTTTTGACCTCTTTTGCCATTTGGGTTAGTCTATTTATTAAGGTGTTATTTTCTTCAGTATTTTTTGGGGTCTCCTTTAGCAAGCTGTTGACTCGTTTTTCATGATTTTCCTGCATCACTCTCATTTCTCTTCCCAATTTTTCCTTTACTTCTCTTGTTTTTCAAAATCTTTTTTGAGCCCTTCCATGGCTTGAGACCAATTCATATTTTTCTTGAAGGCTTTGGATATAGGAGCTTTGACTTTATTGTCTTCTTCTGGTTGTGTGTTTTGATCTTTTTTGTCACCAAAGTAAGATTCTGTAGTCTGAGTTTTTCCCATTGTTTGCTCATGTTCTCAGCCAATTACTTGAATTTTTAACTGTTTGTTAAGGTAGGGCTCTGCTTCCAGTGTGGAGGGTATACTGTCCCAAGCATCAGGGGTTTTGTGCAGTTGTTTTCAGAGATATTTCTATGGACTTGTACATTTTCAATTCTTCCAAGGTGGTATGATCAAAGGAGAGGTGTTTACTCCTTTCCTGGCCTGTGCTCTGGTCTCTGAGTGACCACAAGCACTCTTTTCTGCCTTGGAACTGTGAGGAGGATTCCCTCTCTACCATGACCACAAGTTCCACCATGCCAGCACTCCTCCTTGCCTCAGGACCACCACTGAGGACTGTGACCCAACTCTTGTGTCACAGACTTCTTGCCAACTTCCTAAGTTGTCTTAGGCTCTGATTTTTTTTTTTTTGTTTCTGCTGCTCCAAAATTTGATTTGAGAAGTTATTTTAAAGTGGAATGTTGGGAGAGTTCAGCTGGATTGATGCCTGCACTCTGCCATCTTGTCTCCACTCTCCTCACTTTAATTCCTTCTTGCTGTATCTCTTGCCATAGCCCCTCATCTTGCAATGTCACAATACTTCAATCCACCCATCAACCAGTCCTTGCTCCCCATTGTGATTTCTAGTCCATTTTTCTTCCCTTGATCTTCAATAAACTCTTCTCCTCCATCTGCTTATACTACCTCTCCCCTTTCTTGTTAACTTCATCTGTCAATATCTTCCCATCTTCTTTAGTAACTTTGTCACCTGGGTCCCCATTTTCTTCTTTGCCTCCACCTCCCCTACCATCATCATCCATGATTTCAGTATTCAGTATTTCTTTCATATTTACTGACCTCATAGTCTTTCAGCTATTCCAACTGTAACAACAGACATGTCCATCCTGCTTCACCCTTACTGGCCTTAGGCTTCATCCTCACCCAGAATTGCTCCACTTCCTGTATTTTCCCCTTTCCTACTTCTTTACTCTTGCCAAGCTAGTTTCATTATGATCTATGCCATTGGAAACTCATGGAGTGTCTTTGTATTGTAGCCAGTCTCCTGGCGATGATCTTCTCTGTACTTAGCCATGCACAGTCCTTTGCTTGATCCGCACTAGAAGCTTTCCCAATGGGACTAATGTATCTCTGTCTTACGATAGTTTGGCAAATTTTATTTTCTTCCTCAGAGTCAATATAATGGGATTATACTTCATCTCAAACTCAATGAAAATACACTCAAAAATTTAACTCAGAGAGAAACTGGAGCTTATTCTTTTCCTGCCTTTCTATATATACATAAATATACATATACATACATATATATATATATGTATGTATGTATAGGCTAGGCAATGGGGTTAAGTGACTTGTCCAGGGTCACACAACTAGTATCCAAGGCCACATTTGAACTCAAGTCCTGACTCCAGGGCTGGTGCTGAATCCACTGTACCACTTAGCTACCCCATTTTTTTTTTTTTTGGCTTTTTGGTGAGGCAATCGGGGGGAAGTGACTTGTCCAGAGTCACACAGCTAATAAGTGTCAAGTGTCTGAGGTTGGATTTGAACTCAGGTCCTCCTGATTCCAAGGCCTGAGCTCTATCCACTATACTACCTAGCTGCCCAAAAGTGAAATACCTTTAAAAAATTCTTGATTCACATCTTCCTTCAATTGAAAGTGTAGAAAGACCAACCACCTATCTGGAGCAGAGGTCCTGAGTTTTTGTCCTGGGCTCTGCTGCACACATGGTGCTGGGTGATCCTGGGCAAGTCGCTTAAACTCTCTGATCCCCAGCTTCCATCTTTGTAAATGTGGATATGTATAATTGTAGTACCTACTTCATAGGAAACTCAACCCAAGCAGAATGGAACTCCTTAGTAAACAGTGTTCATGCACCACTCTGGCTGTCAAAACTCTTCACCTGATGACTAGTCTCTTGGTGATGATCTTGTCTGCATTTAGCATACTGATCCTCTGAGGACCCAGGTGCAGTCCTTCACTGGTCTCCCCTAGAGCCTTTTCCAGTTTGATAGGGTCTCTGGGAGTTGTGTTTATTTGACAGAGCCTTCAGAAATCCTCACCCCCTCTCCACTCTGATTTGATGTTGAAGCAACACTTCAGAGCAGGATCCGTGGCATGTTTTGGGTGAAATGACTCATTTTGTAGGCCAGCGTGGGAAGTGAATCAGCTTTTACAATCACTTTTTCTATGAGAAAATACATTCTTCAATCTTGGACAACCAACTTTCAGATGACATGTTAATAGCCAACTTCTAAGATTGTTGGGAAGCCCCCATGAGAGTGTGCGTATGAAGGGCTCTTTTTCAAGCTTATGACAGTTTTCCCATTTTCTAAGATTTTTCAGAATTGCTGGTAAAAATCCAGCAGTCACATTTGCCAGTTCTTTCAATGTACTTAGGATATAATTCATCTGGGCTTCGTAACTTGAGTTCTGTGAGGGGAAAGAGATGCTTTGTGACTACCTCCTCACTTTTCTTGGGTTCCACTCTCTCCTAATGATTTTTATCTTGTCTTTCTTAGCCCAAGGAAGAATTTCTTTGGAAAAAGAAACAGAAGTGAATCCAGTGTTTCATCTTCCACGTGGTCATCATCCTTTAACAATCCAGTGCATTCTTTGATCCTCTTCTTGCCCACAATATAGCTAAAATAAAACGAGAAAAACCCCTTAATATCCGTCACCAATTTCAGTTTATTTTGGACTTACTACTCCTAACATAGTTATTACAGGTCAAATGTCTTGTATTTATCCTCAGTTATTTGATCTTTTCCATCATCTATACATGTTTTTTTTTGTTTTAAATTTAAGTTTGTTGGTGTGTTCCTTGTATGTCTACATTGGTGTTTTCAGACAGCTCTTCTTTTTCCTTTTTGTCAGAATTATCTCTTCTTTTGTTTTCAGAATTGAATTTTTTTTTGAGATTTTACTGTGCCTCCTAGGCCAACTTCCTCTGTAAAATATTAGGCCATTGGATCCTAGTTATTCTTTTTCTGAACCCTTTGAAGTCTCACTTCTTCAAATCAAGAGCACATATTATATTAGTTCCTATGGCTTTAACTTCTCTATCATGAACTCTGTGATGATCACTTGCTCTGAAAATTCCTATTATTCCTATTTTGGCAACTAGTTTTTTTGGTTTGGTCAGAATCAGGACCAAATAGTAATTCCTCTTGTTTCTTTCTCTGCTTTTTGAAGGAGAAAGTTATCATCATCATCATCTGCACAATAACAAATGTCTTAGCTTTCTTAGTCTGATAAATTTAATTTATTAAGTGTAAAGGACAGTGCATAAATTACCTCAGTAACTATTGGGTCAGATCTGTGCAGACAGGAAATCAGGGCCAGAACAAGAACAACAGAATAGTAAACAAGGAGGGAGTAGAGGGACTAGAAGTCACTGTGGAGACAAAGAATATCCACGAGGAATGAATCAGCAGAAGAGATGGAAGCACAGATTAGGATCAGATAGGGCAATTTCAGAATGAAGAGTTAGTGACGTGGTTTGGAGTGGTAGAAAAGCAGGTCTCTAAGACATGAGCACTCCTATCAGTGGCTATATTGGTGTGTGTCATGGGAGTTGAGAAAATTAATGAATTTGGAGGATACCATTTTCAAGGAAACATCAAAGTAGGATTATGAAGTCACCAAGTATATTAGGCTATGTGTTAGGGAAGAGAGGAGAGTGTGAGCCAAGTATAGAACTCCTTGAGAAAGGAGGGCCAGTGATTAGTGAACCAGTAGATGATAACAAGAGAGATTTAGGTAGGACAATACCGAAAGTTGGAGTGAAGGTCTTAGAATTATGGATTTGTAGACGTCAAACTTATAAAGGACCATAGAGATCATCTAGTCCAGGTCATCTCCCTTTGTATTGTTGGCTTTGATGTCTTTACGTGATTCTTTTTTTTTTCTTCTTTGACTTGACTATTACACCTGATCTGCCAATTTTAGGGGCATTCCTTGTTCCTGTGGAATCTTTACATTAATATATGTATATATTTATGTGTGTGTGTGTGTGTGTGTGTGTGTGTGTGTATATATATATATATATATGTAATCTTTTTTTCTGCTAGGTTACCTTTTACCCATTTAACATGCAATTAGATCACATAGTTTTTTTGATCCTTAGTATATATTTCCAATAAGATGTTTTCAAACATTCACCAGGCATCCTGTGGTCCATTTACTTTTTAAAGTACCACTCTTAATTTTGTTCTTGACGATTGCCAGCATGATGTCATAGTTCCATTTGCTACAACTGAGTAACTTCTTGATGGGTTCTCTTGGTTTTCTGTCTCCCATGAAAGTTGTTGTAATGTTACTCATCATATACTGGGGCTCAAAGCTATTTCATTTTAGTTAGAAGTGCTTTTAGCATGTCTTCTAAAATACATTTCTTAGAGTATGTTTCCAAAGGCTTCCTCAGTTATCACATCTGAATTTTATATGAGATCCCCCCTGAAGCCTTACTATTGCCTGTTTGCCATTGCCCAAATCCATTCCTTTACTCACCACACCATACTCAGTTCCTGAGATATACTCTCCTACCATCTCGAATAGCACTTTCTTCTGAAAAGCTTGTCTTATACCATCAGCTGCTATCATTCTCTTCCCTGTCTGAGACCATCTTTTCCCTTCTTATGCACTTACCAAGTTACAATCTGTAATATAACTATTTGTGTACATATTTTATCTTCCCAACTAGACTGTCTACTCTTGGAGGGCAAGAACCATTTCTTATTTATCTTTGTATCTCAGGGTCTATGAATTACACAGAGGAAGTAGGGACTGGATCTGTGATTTCATTGGGATAGAGAACTCCCAAAGGAGGAAGCTCTCTTTACTAACATAAGTCAGTGCCTTCTCTGCAATTTAGGATCTTAAAGAGTTGCCTGAAGCACTGAGAGGTTAAGTGACTTGTCTAGAGCCACACAACCAGTTTAAGTCAAAGGCAGCACTTGAACCTTGGTCTCCCTGGCTTCCAGGTCGCTCTCTGTCCTCTGCTATGCTACTTCTCATCCACTGCTCATGATAGGTGCTTTATACATTTGGGGAATGAATGTTGCTGAAGTCCTTCTTTTGTGATTTTTTTTTCAAGGCGTACTACTGCCATTCCCTCGCTCTTGCTTTCATTGAGCTCACCGTGTTACAGAGGTATCATGAATACACACACCATTCCAGCACACCGGCTTCTCTTCAGCCAGTCCTGCAACGTCTCAGTGCTTTATACGGACTGTGGTCTCTAAGTCGGCACATGGCCGTGCTCTATCAAGGTGAGAGTCTTCCCTTCATTGTATGATGTAAAAGCAGCAGCACCTGTGTTTTAGGCAAAAGAGAAATATTCCCATTGAGAGGAAAAGCCAGCAACGTTCATTTTTGCTTAAGTAGGTATTACCCACTCACACTTTGGCCTTCTCTCAGTTTGATATATGAAGATATGAGATATGAAGATAATATGGGGCACTAACTATAATAAAATTATAATTCCACTCTAAAAATAACCAAACAGCAAGAATAGAAGACAAACCAGAGTGAGACTTAAAATGGAATAGATAAGTGGAAAATCACCTTGCACCATACACTCTTGCACATTAAAATTATTAGCTAACAGTTTGCCTATTCGAACAGCCATATAGTTTTCTTGTAGTCTAGCCCAGTCAGCTTGAAATTTCATTACCCCAACTAGCTTACCGTGTTTTGCAGTCACAGAGATGTCACTGTGTATTCCTTCTTCAAAATAATTTATTAAAAGTTAGTTGAGATTAACTGCAAGATTGATCCTAAAGGGATTTCATGGTTTACATTTATTCCAAGGAGTGCCCATTTATTGTTTTAATTTTTCTCCTTAACCTTTTTTTTTAGTTTGTTTTTCACAAAAATATGTGTTTAAAATGAAACCCTTGAATGAGATGCGTATGACATATTTAGACTCGGGTCATGGACCCAAGTGGCAGTCTGGTGATGCCTGTGGACCCTTTCTCAGAATAATTATTTTAAATACATAAAATAAAATACCTAGGATTACCAAAGAAATCAATTATTATTGAAATACTATTTTCAATATATATATATATATACATACATGCATTCATATATCATATGTATGTATGTATATATATGTGTGTACACAGGTATGTCTATATATCCATGTGTATGTATATGAATTAACAAGCTTACAGATCCTAATTGAAGAACCTCTCATTTCAATTTTCATAGCCTTGAGGGAGGAATGTTGTTTGAAAAGAGCACTGAAGTAGGAATCAGGAGACCTGGATTTTAATCCAGGCTAAGGGACTTTATGAAAATGACTCAACCTTTTTCAACCTATGGAAATTGGAAATAGTAAAACCTGCCTTACATCCCTCATAGGATTTTTGTGAGGTTCAAATGCTATACCAGATATGAAAACATAAAGCAGTGTAAAAATAGAAGAAATTATTGATATGGTTTCTAATAAAACAAAGACAAATAAAAGACAAGTTAAGTTATATAAAAAATGAAGCTGCTAACTGGGCCAGGCCAATAACATTTTGCAGAATAAATAGTACTTTTTGTGGGCCTGATAGTTTGGAAAACTATTTTCAGGCTCACATAAATATTTTAAAACTACCCTCTTAATTTAGAACCAAGGACAATTTCTAAAATGTAATCCATTCTTATTTGTGTTACTATATATATGTATGCTCTATGTACTTGCAGGTGGATATTTTTCTGGTGAACAAGCAGGTAAAATGGTAAAGGATGCTATTTTGGACCTGTGTGCAAAGGTGAGTCTAAGTAACTTATAATGCTGAGTATTAATGTCATTATGTAGTAAATTTCAGTCAAATGGAACCCTCAGTTCACCAGAACTTTGGACACATTTAACTTTTAAGGGAAATTGACAATAAAACTACACAAAAGAAGCTTAAATCAGTGGTTGAGTCACACAACTGATGTTCATGGAATATTCATACAATTGTAGAACATTAGGCCCTTAGAACAAAGGCTGAGGGCCCTTACAGGGGTACTTAGAACAAAGAATCTCAGAATGGTAAGGGTCCTTAGAACATTAGTTACTAGAGCTTGAAAGTGACCTTTGACATCATCTAGTGTAACCTTCCTCATTTACAGATGAGGGAACTGAGGCCCAGAGAGGTAAATGGATGTGCCTTGGGTCATTCAGTGTGGTTAGTGACACATCTGAGGCAGGAACCTAAGTCTCTCAGGTCCTAGGCAGGTACTCTGTGGGGGATTGTGAGGGAGTTGAGACTATTTTCAGACCAAACTCTTTCATCTTCTGCATGAAATATCACAGGATGGTGGGGTTGGAAAAGATTTTAAGAGACTGTAGCCCAACTTTCTCTTGTATAGAAGAGAGAATTAAGACTTAAAGAGAAGAGGTTACTTAGCCACGGGGACACAGCAATTTCATAGCAAAGATGCAATTTTAATTCAGGTGTCCTGATTCTGTCTTCAATGTTCTTATTACTATAAGATGCTTTGCCCCCCTTCTATAATCATACTACCCTTTTGATGATATGCTCTCAGGCAGTGCAATTTATTTAGTTCTCAAAATTAAGTTGTTTTCAATGTAGTTTATACTGAGGCAGAAAAAAATGTATTAATTTACGTTTAAAGATTTTCAACGTAGTTTTGAAACAAGAGTCTCGATTCGCCTCAAAATTCAATTAATCAAATTATCTAATTTCCAGAACAAGTTTTTATTCTATTATCATTTTATTCTGATGAGTAAAAATGAAAATAAATAGCTACCAACACTTTTTTTGGGGGGGTGAGGCACTTGGGGTTAAGTGACTTGCCCAGGGGCACACAGCTAGTGAGCATCATGTGTGTGAGGTCAGATTTGAACTCAAGTCCTCCTGACTCCACGGCTGGTGCTCTATCCACTGTGACACTTAATTTAATGCCATTTTAAAGGTTGCTTGGCAAGACATCCCACAAGTTTTTCATTCCTTTAAGGTAGTTATCATGAAAATAAAGAGTGATTTCTTTGTTTCGGTTTATGCCTGGGTCCCAGACACGAATAAATATATGTGTACTACTCATGACTGTAAAGAATATGCCATTTGGCCAAATATAGATTTTACTTCTTTCTCAAATTGTTTAAAAAAAAAAACCTTAGTGTAGCCTATACTTAGTAAGAAAATGTCTATGAAAAAATCTCTGAATTGAACAAAAAAGTCAAAACACAATTTTTATAAGAAACATACAATTTTATATATCTTATGAAATTACTTTTTGGTTAATGATGATGTTTTTGTTTTCCTTAAAAAGATTTCATTTTAGAATCCTAGCCAGTATTTGGGGTAACCTGACATCCCAGTTTACACCCTATACTGTTTTGTTTACATAAAACTTAAAATAGGAAGAAAATTTTAACTTTTCATGCTATGTACTTGAGAATAACTCTTTCAAAAGAAATATATAGGCAAGGCAAATACAATTTGAGCTTTCTATTGGAATTTTTGTAAAGCTCTTCATTAGTTAATACCATTACAAATTATGCCATGGTCTTGGATTCTGTTTTCATGTGGACCAGTGAGCTTTATTGTATTTCCTAGTCTCAGACTGTTCCTCTAACTCCCAACTTCCAGTCTTGAAAACCTATGCTGTTATAAGTGATAAAGGAGACAAGGCAACGTTCTGTGTGTGACTCAGTGAAAAATTCATCCCCACTGCTAGAAAAACAGATGAGAGGAAGCTCAGTTGCATCTCTTTATAATGAAAAAGACAATATTTATTTGCTATTTTTAGTCCAAGTATGTCTGTCCATCAAAAATAAAATGTGAACTTCTTAAATCTTAGAATAAAAATAAACAATGTGAATATCTAATTTTATTCCATTTATTACATTATACCTTATGTAATTTGTTGAATCTTTTGAATTATTATGTACTAACTTGGCAGTTACAATCTAGACCTAAAAATTTATTCATAACCCCACTTTTTCTATTAGAGCAATTCATTTTAATCATATAATAAAATATTTTTAAATAATGTTTTTGCATTTAAAGGGAATTCCTAGGGGACCTCCTTATATAGGTTTTATTTGTCATCTTGAGTAATAGTGTATATAATGACTGAGTAATAAAACATTACTGAGGATCATGGGACATTTCTTTTTATTACTTTACCAGTTGGTCATAAACATCTTCTCTTCCATTTTTCTTGATATATTTTTTCTAACTAAAACAGAAAGTGACCTGACAAAATAAGGGCTACTAGAGAGACAAGACTAGGAAGACAGTTTTTAAAAAATTAATGAGTTGCAAAGAAATCATTTTTATGAGTGTACTTGGCCTAACTGAAGCTAAGTAAATGGTAAAAATATTAAAATGCAAACTAAAGGAATCTGTTATCCAGGCCAATAAAAAGATAATGTGTTAGTAACAGATCTGTCTGTGACTGCTTTGGTTGCCAGGGGGTTGTGGCAACAACTCTGCTGCTGCTCTTGGACTCCCAGTAACCATAGAGACCCTAAGGGGCTGCCAAGTTTATGAGCTTTGTTTTCAAACAGCTGAAAGATGATGCAGTTGCCCTGGTAGATGTCATCGCTCCTCCGGACTTCATTCTGAACTCACCAATTGGCAGGGCCGATGGCGAGGTAAAGAGGAAATCTTTCTTTGTTTTGGAAAAATAACTTATGGAAATAGGTGGATGAGGAAATTGAGAACCTACGAGGTTGGCCACAGCTGTTCTCCAAGAGAGTGTGAAGGATGCGATCTGCATCAGTGGAGGGAACATTCACACTGATGAAGTCGTGGGTGGTTGAAGTCTTGTGCCCATGTGAGGCTGTTCTTGGTGTCCTCCAGGATCCCTTGCAGCTCTTAAATCCTACAATTCCAAGCAGAGATAACAAAAAACATGACCTAACAACCAGTGACCAAATTATTACTGGATGTGGTTTAAAAAAAAAAACCTGGTAAAATTAATGATTTAACCATGTGCTCTTGGGTGAGGAGTTCATATTGAATACAAATCCAGCTATATTTGATTTTCCAGAGGATCATTAAATCAAGGGCAATGCTTCAAATTGTGAAGTAAAATATTTGAGTTTGTGACATGTCAAGAAAGTAAAAGACTAAGTCCATGTGTACAAGGAAATGAAAAATAAAGTTGGTGATGGGGAGGATACCAGGAGGAGCGGCTGATGAATACATATTTAGGGTGGAAAGAACCTTAGATGTTATTGAAGGTAGACAACAGGTAGGGGCCTGCATATGAGTAGTAGTTTCTCATAAGCAAAAGTTGTCTAGACCAGCCAGATGCCTAACATACTATTTAAATAGATCTTTTCTGGCTCATTTAAAAAAAAGGGGAGAAGTTTCCTTTAGAAAGTTTATTAGTAGCAAATCAAGTAACTCTTGCAATGTTTAAGTCTCAGTTTTCACTGAAAGCTTTTTTTACATGTCAGACTAGCCTGACTGACAGCTGACCCTTGGGAATGATGTGGAATGAATAAAATCCAGATTAAAGACCCAGTGTAGATCCATCCTCTCCTTGGGTCTTAGTTCCTTCGTTTGTAAAATGAGGCATTTGGAATGATCTCTCAGCTCCAGAGTCTCGGAGCCTGTGATTCTGAGAAGAATGTAGCCAAGCCAAACCTGAGTTTGTAGCTGTGCTGTCTTACCTGGCCCATGCTGTGTAGAGAAAACATGCATGACATGAAAACCATAAAATTAGGACTAGATAAAGGATGCCTTTCTGAAGTGGATGTAACTGGGATCTGATGATACCTATACTTTTACTGATAGAATTAATGTATCGAACTTCCATGAGAGTCTATATGAGAAGGGGCTGCTGATACAGACTCTCAAAATCACACATTCTTCATGCTGGAAGGGACCACACAGGCCACCTAGTCCAACTTATAAATAAATAACAAGAATCCCTTCTGCAGCGTTCTCAGCAAATAGTTATCCAGACTTTGTGCAAAAACCCGGAAAGTGGCCCATTCCACTTGGGGTAGTTGTAATTGTTAGGAAGTTTTTCCCTGACACCTCTGCAATTTCTCCCCGTTGCTACTAGTTCTGTCCTATGGAGCCAAACAGTACAAACTGAATCCCTCCCCCACATAGTACTCCTTCAGATACTTGAAGACAACTAACATATACCCCCTTAAGTCTTTGCTTGTCAAGATCAGGCTTGATTCTCACATGGAATCACCTCAGGTCTTGTCATCCTGGTTGTGTTCTTCTGGCTGACCACTCTTCACCTCATCAGTATCCTGTACCCCAAACTGAATGTAGTATTTCAGATATGTCCCACCCAGGGTAGTATACAATGGGATTTATTACCTCCCTTTTTCTGAACATTATCATGAAGATCACATTATTTTGGGGGGCTAACATCATACTGTTGCCATCTTTAGCTTGTGGTCCCCAGATCTTTTTTCTAATAAAATAACATTTTCTATCTTATTTTCTATCTTTCTATCTTATATTTATTATTGTCTTCATATACCGCATTTTGTAATTTCATTTCAATCTTTGTTTTTACTAAGGCCAAAGATTTTTTATTAGTAACATTTAAAAATTCTCCTAATAAGCTGTTAGTGCCCAATTTTGCATGCTTTCAACAAAAAATTGAGTTGGGAGGTGGGAGTTACTTATACATTTAACCATCTAAACAATGTGTTTCTGTTTTTGCAGTTGTATAAAAACCTCTGGACCGCTGTCCTTCAGGGAAGCAAAGTCCTAGAGAGGGCATCATGGTGGACAGAATTTTCTACCTATAAACCCACGATAGGAAGTTTGAAATCAAAACTCTAGGTCCAGCATAAATGCCAAGGCACCATTTAGACATTTATCCTTGAGCATCTGCATCATTTCTACTTATAAAGATCCTGGACTCAGAGGGCTATCACTCAGGCATCCCATTTGACTACTTCCAGAAGACTTTGAACAGCACCACCATTTTCTGGGACAGCACATCTACTCTTACCAATCAGTTCCAGATGTAGAAGCACCAATCTTGTTTAACAGTATTTGCTTCCCTTGCATGGTCAAGGGGTAACATTTAATTTACCATTATAATTCTCATGCTTATCATGATTTGCTACATAAAATGGAAACAAGGTAAAGTATATCAACCTTGATGATGGAATAGACCATTTAGGTAATTTGAACTTCATGTCTCTATTTTCATATTTAAATCTCTTGAGCATAGCCACTCATTAAGTGCCTTCTTCGTAAAATTTATTGTATTAATTGCTCAGGGAGATAACAAATATAAAGAAGACAAAGTCCTTCAAGGGGCTTATAGTCTAATAGAATCTGATAAATATGTATATGGATAAATATAATTCATATTAGAATATGGTACAGGTAAAAGAAGAATTCAAAATGTTAGGAAATAAAATTAAGGAGATGTCACTTCCTGGCAGGGGAAATTAACGAAGACTTGGTGGAGGAGGAAGCATTTGAAGAATATAAACAGGTCGAGGTGGCAAAGGAGGACATTCCATATGAGCAAAGACTTGGAAGGTGGAAAGCATGGGCTATGTGCCTTGCCCAAAGTTGGTGCTCAGCAAACATTGATTCCTTGTCCAGGGATTCTATGCCATGGGTTTCTTAAATTGATCTGGGAATGTCTATTTCACTAAGGACTTCATTGTGCCATGTGATATCTGCTCTAAATTCAGATTAGCTTCCTTGACAAGATCATTGCAATTCAATTTCCTTAATCTGGACTAAATGAAAGAACATGAAGTCTGAATTATGGATTTGGGGGAGCATTGTGGTTTCATTTCTTTTAAGCATTTAACTGGAACTAACCATTGAGAAAGTGTTGTTAAGAAGAAAGAAGAAATGTAGACCTCAGTTGCTAGATCATTGCTAATTTGAGACATTCATTGTATCCATTTGTTCTCTTCGATGATTACACCTGTTTCTCCTCTTCATCAGGTGAAATAATCTACTACAATTTTATTTATAGTATTCATTTGCTTAGTAACCTGTTTTCCATAAGTAACATAAGGATAATTTCAGGCCAGGTTCATTTTCTATAAATCCTGAATTTAATAGAATTGGAATGAACTCTAACTAAATCTGATCACAATTGAACAATGATAAAGCCAAGTTTAAAATGTTAATTAGATAAAAGACATCTTTTATTTTTTTTTTTTAGTTCCTGCAGTTTTATTCATTCTTGTATTTATTTGAGGCATTTCTTGGACATCATTGTATCTGCAATAAATAGTGTTGATTAGGTTCCTAACTAAAAAACTAGGGTCAAACTGGTCCTTCCTGGATACAGGTTAGACTCAGTCTTCTATTCAAGTGGGAGTTGCAATTTTTGTTCCTTTGTTACTTGGTTTTTCAAAGTATGCTTTTTCAAAAACCCATAGATTTTAGACGGAAAGTGTTAGATTATAAATCATCTAGTCCACTCCCCTAATTGTATAGAAGAGTAAACTGAAGCCTAGAGAGTACAAAGGAGTAGAGCTGGGACTTAGCACTTAGGACTACTTGGTGAACAAACACGGTCATTTCATTTTTAAGCGCTTTGAAAATCAGTCTCCTACTCTTAGCAAAATTACAAACTATTCACAAGACTAGATTTCTCTGACCTAATAAGACTGAAGAATATCCAGTGAAAGGCAAGCAGTATAGTAAGAAGGCTCAAAACCATGCTGGGATATGTCGAAGGAACTAGGGATGTTGAGCCTATTAAGTCCATTTTCTCACTTGGGTCATATTTTTAAATGAGCATCTGACATAACTTCATTATGGTCATGAGGTGGAGGGTACAAGCACTATCCTTGCATTCACCTAGGCTCACATCCTAGGTGTCAGCTTGAATCCTCTGTCTCATGCCCTTTCCCCCATATTAGTCATTAGTTCCTATCTGCTCTCGTAAGATCTCTCTTTTTAGACCCCCTTCTCTCCTCCGACACTGCCACCATCCTATTGCAGGGCCTCATCACAGCACACCTGGACTATGGAAATAGACTTCTGATTGGTATCCCTGTCTCAAGTCTCTCTCCATTCAGCCATCAAAAACTCTGGTGGCTCCCTGTCACCTCCAGGATCAAACATAAAATCCTCTCTTTGGCTTTTAGAGTCCTTCATTACCTGGTCCTTTTCTCCCTTTCCAATCTTCTTATACTTTACACCTCCCCATATACTCTATGATTAAGTGATCCTGACCTCTTTGCTGTTCTTTAAACAAGACTGTGCATTTTCATGGTTTGTTTCCCATGCCTAGAATGCTGCACATTAACCCTTAATATTTTTAAATTTCAATTTATTGAATTGGCACTGAAGACTGATCACAGTGTCCTTATCATTATTCTGGTGCTGCTGTTTGGCTGCCAGTCATGGAATCTTACACCTCACGACCTCAGAAGAGTCACAATTTCAGGTGACCAAAAGGTGTTAAGGATGCAGTTATTGGAGATCCTCTAACATAATACTCATCACTGCCCAAGACCTTTGGGGCAAGTTGTTCCTGAAAAGCTTATGGTATAGTCCACTGCACAAGACTTTCCCCAGGAACACACATCCAACCAGGGAAATGTAACATAATCATACAGAGAAACCACCAAGGTTCTAGCAGACTACACTGCTTCACCCACAATAGGATGTTACTCTGGCCTTCTTCGTCTTCTCCCAAACAGCTCAGCTCCTCAGTCTCAGGACCAATCTAGTAACACCCTCCTAGCCACCTGGTGATATTAAGCTTGTATAAGCTGGCTGTGGGAAACCTCAAAGGGAAATAGAGATTGGTGCCCTCATCAGGAGGATTGGCAGTAACTACTGCCTTCCTAATTATGGTGACACCATTGAAACAGTGGTTCATGTTCACACATCCCATTCCTTCCTGCTCTCTCAAATAAACACATCCGCATTCTAGGTTTTTTTCTCCCCTTTGGGAAAAAAAATTAAGCACTAGTATAGTCTTATAAGGGCAGGATTCTTAAGGGATAAAAATAGGACTTGAGAATTATTGTTCAATTTATTCCCCATGTGGTTTTGTTTGAAGTTCTATTCAATCATTTTGCTAGGATCCTTGTCAGTGTTTAAGATCTCTCTGAATTTCCTATCTCCTCATTAATAAGCTTATGCAAACAAAATGAATGCTTAGAAATATATTCCTTTATTATGATCCTGAGGGGAAGTTTGTGGGGTTTGGATTTTTCAAGAACACATTAACCACAGGTCGGACAAGTGAGCTGGACTAGATGAATGAAGTTGGAATTAATTCAACAATGAATTATGAAACTCCTTAATAGGCAGGAGCTCCTATGTTTGGTACTTTAAATACAAAGATGTGAAATGCATGACACCATTTCTGATTTTTGTGGAGTTTATAATATACCTAGAGATGTATGTAAATAAGTTGTGTGTGTAGAATCAGGTAGTAACAGCTGAGTGGTGCAGTAGATAGAGTGATGAGCCTGGAGTCAGGAAGAACTGAGTTCAAATGTGACCTCAGACACTTCCTAGTTGTGTGATCCTGGGCAAATCACTTAACCCCATTTGCCTTAGTTTCTCATCTATAAAATGAGCTGGAGAAAGAAATGGCAAACCCCTCCAGTATCTTTGCCAAGAAAACGCTAAATGGGATCACGAATAGTCAGACACAACTGAAATGACTGAACAACAACAGAAACAGGGAGATCCAGAGATTTATGGATGATTACCAGTTCTGGAGAGCATTAGCAATCTTTGGTAAATGAGACTTGAGATATAAGGGAATAATTGGTAATCTATTCTGAGGTCAATCAGTCAATCAATAAATAAACATTAAGCACCAACTATGTGCCAGGCACCATGCTAAGAACTGAGTTTACAAAAAAAGGCGAACAAATTGTCCCTGTTTGCAGGAAGGTCCCAGTCTCATGGAGGTCAAAGCCAGAAGTCCACAAAAGCAACAGCGCTGGGAGTAAAAGCTGCAAGAGATGGTAGCAGAGAGCAGAAAGCCAGCTTAGGACCAGGGCCAGGGGAAGGAGAGATACTTCATCTAGAATGAGATAGGAAAGGCACCTTGATCAAGGCGAGTTTGTATGTTGGAGACTGACTGTTTCAAGGAAGGAATCATCTCAAAAAAGCATCTCTTTATAAGAGTAGTGCGCTAGTAATAATGATAGAAGATATTGTCCTGTTTGATCCTTATATCAACACTCTGAGGTAGCATGCTATATAGTGATTATCCCCACTTTATAGATGAGGAAACTGAAGGTCAAAGAGGTTCAAGTCACCTAACTTGATCTGGTGGACTTCCAGCTTTTTGGTGCCAGGGAAACAATAAAGGTGGTGGTACTGTCAACAGGAAAAGAAAAGTTCACAAGAAATATTTAAAGCAGCTCTTTTGTGGTGGCAAAAAATTGGAAATTGAAGGGGATGCCCATCAATTGGGGAATGGCTGAACAAGCTGTAGTATATGAATGTAATGAAATACTATTGCTCAGTAAGAAATGATGAGCAGGAGGATTTCAGAAAAACCCGGAAAGACGTATTAACTGATGCATAGTGAAATGAGCAGAACCAGGAGAACATTGTACACAGTAACAGCAATATTGTGCGATGACCAACTTTGATAGACTTGGCTGTTCTCAGCAGTACAGTGATCCAAGACAATTACCAAGACTCATGATGGAACATGCTGTCCACATCCAGAGAAGGAACTGATGGACTCTGAATGCAGATTGAAGCATGCTATCTTCACTTTCTTTGTGTGTGTGTGTGTGTTTCTTTTTGGCCTGTTTCTTCTTTCACAACATGACTAATATGGAAATATGTTTTGTATGATTGCACATATATAACCTATATCAAATTGCTTACCATTTTAGGAAGAGGGAAGGAGAGGGAGGGAGAAAAATTTGGAACTCAAAATTTTACAGAAATGAATATTAAAAATTGCCTTTACATATAATTGAAAAAATAAAATACATTTTAAAAAGAGAGGCCCATGTGACCAAATCATGATAATTCATATTTATTTACAAAGGGCTTTACAATTTCAAAACATTTAGATGCTTTACCTCATTTTGTTTTTGTCACAAAACCCCATGAGGTAGGTTGTGTGAACTATTTCGGGATCAAAGGGCTTGCAGCTAGAAGGGTCTTAGAGGTCATCTAGACTTACCATCTCACTTTTCAGATAGGGAAACAGGCCCAGATAAGATAGAGAAATTGCCTGTGGTCCCACAGTGAGTGACTTAAGATTCAAGCCCAGGGCCCCTTACCTCCTCCTCCGACTCTTCACCCTTCCCTTTTTCTTCCCTTCCCTCCCTTCCTCTCCCCTCTCCCATCTCTTCCCTTCTCTTCCCCCTTCTCCCATCCCCATCTTTCCTTCCATCCTTTCTCCTTCTTCCCTTCCCCGGCCTAGACAATGCCATGGTGGAGACGGCTGAGGAGGCCACGGAACCACCAAGGCAGACATCACAGGGCTGTGCCAGGACATGTTCTCCAAGATGGTCACGTATTTAACAGGCGAGCTGATAGCCACCAGTGAAGACTATAAACTTCTGGAAAATATGACAAAGTGACTTGCTTGAAGTATCTAAAAATGAAAGATATTGCAGTAAAGATAAGTAGAAACCTAAAGGACTTCAACCAGAAATCTGCAGCACTTCAGCCTTATCTGGATCAGATCACTTTAACTGAGGAGCAAGAAGCAGCTCTGGGGCTGGCAGCCTACATGTTGGATGTGTATTCAAAGAAACTAGAAGCAAAGTACAAGAAATTAGAGAGGCAATGAAAGAATTCTTTAGCACAAAGACTTTAACTACAAGAATGTTTCTTAAGATCTGAAATAAGTGGGATGGAACTTATCACTACGCTTCATTTCCTACAAAGAAGTGGTGCTGCTGATCCAAGGAGAATCCCAGCCCCCACCTCTGGTTGGATGTGTAACTCTGGCCACCCCTTGTTGTCTCCTAAACCTGTAGCCCCTGGGACCTCATCTTACCTTGTGCTTCATTATGTGCCCTGGACCAAGTCTCAGAAATCAGGATCAACCCTGCCTGGAACAGACACAGAGGAGAGGCCCTCCTCTCCCTGTCTCCTCCTATCTTCCCTCTCTCCTAGGGCTCCATCTTGGACTTTGTTATGAATGTGCCCCCCACCCCCTTCATAAGCTGTTCTTCAACTTAAATAATACATGCTGACTTATGAAGATTTAAGCCCTGGTCTTCTTCTCTCCACGTGCAAAGTCTTATCACCTGGGCCACCTAGCTAACCCTGTTTCCCCCACATTTTGTTTTCCCCACATTGCAGGGTACATGGCAAATACTCAGTAAATGTTTCTTAAACAAATTGAGTGAATGAAAATCTATCATCTCTTTGACTTGAGAAGTATATTAGTATTGCTATCCTGTAGGTAGTCCTGTCAATAATATCAGTAAACTCATGTTTCTATGAGGGTGGTGATGATAGCTGACATTTCTATTATTCCTTGAGGTTCACAAAGCACTTTACATACAGGATCTTATTTGATCCCCACTGGCCAGAATGTAGAGTGTGTGAAGGGGAATAATGGGAGACAAGACCAAAGGGGTGGTGAGCCTTTCTGGCTTTCAAAGGCTTTCTGCCCAATAGCTCCATCAGTATGTACGTTTTAATGCACTTCACTGAATTAATAATCTCTTCATGCCAATGTGATTGTGCCCATTTTACAGACAAGGAAGCTGAGACCCACAGAAGGGAAGTGACGTGTCCATGATCCTACAGCTTATAAGCATTAGAGCCAAGTCTTCTGACTCACTTCACTAAAGCACTCAATTTGGATGCAAGAATTGGTGCCTCCCCAAAAAAATCACCTCAGAAATGTATGATCAGAAAAATAACAAGGAATAACAATAGATAACACTTCTCAGCTGATCTCCTGGTACCCATGAAAAGACACAGGAGGAGGCCTCTAGCTCAGTGGCCTGATCCTCTGATTGATGAGATGTGAGTTCTGGTTCTAAAAGACGGAGCAGAAAATTAGTTTCTCCCACCTATTTCTGCTCCTACATTTGCCAGGAAAGTTCTCTCCAAATGCATGATTATGTGGCAAATCTGCCACTGTGCCATGCAAGAGGAAAGGAGGTGAGCCCATAGATGAAACTTCCCATGATTTACTTAAGGCCATTCTGGACAGCTGGTGGAGACTGGGGATGGGGGTGCTATAGGTGCCCAAGTCTGGATCCAACTTGGAGTGGTGTGACAGCTTCCAGGATACTCTCCAAGCTCTCTCCTCTTCGGTACAAGTCTTACCTCTAATGTGTGTTAGGAATGTTTTCTTATTTGGGGAAATTCTAAGCAGTTGATTGGTGGGGGAAGGCAGGAGTTATCTGTTCAATCTGCTACCCCTGCTTTCAGTTCTATGCTTTGGGATTTTTTAACATTGTCTCTGATTGAGGGGGATGAGTAGCATAGAATGGGATCTGGAGTCTCACATCCTCCATCTCATCCTTTTCCAAACTACTCAAAGGCTGCCAACAATGAGGAAGTGAAAACATTTTATCCATAGCTCCGTGCATCATGGAACATTTAGGTTCAGCAGAAGTTGTATTTGTGAATGTATAATTAGGGAGATGAGAAAGGATTGAAGGAAAAAGAGAGTACATAAAAAAGAATACATAGCAAATGTGACCGTAGCCAGTTAGTATGAGCCTTACTATTTCCATGGATGTGTGTCTCTTAAGTTGCCAGACCATTTCCAAGGAGGTGGCCTTGGGGTGTTTTCAATGGAAAGATTAAAGAGCCTATGGAAGTGTTTCTAGGAACACCCTTGGGATTCTACATAGGACTGTTAGCTCATCCTAGAGGAGGGGAAATAAGCATCCATGCAGAGATCCCAAGGGTGTTGGTGGGAGAGGGGATGGGAAAGACTTCATTTATACTCACATACCTATGCAGAAATGTGTTTATGTGCATCCCTTAGTAAACAATATCAACTCACTCATATTCCTTTATTACACAAACTATAAGAAGCAAACATATCTTTCTATAAATCCTGAAGAGGGCCATAAAAACCACAAACTAGATGCAATCAATCAATCCATCTACAGACATTGATTATGCAGTCAGGCACCATGCAAGGCACTGGAGACTCTAAGACAAAAGAAAACAGTTTCTGCACTATATTTTAATGACGGCAACAATGGGCATTACACACACACACATGCAAGCATATTTACATGTATGCATAACAATGAGGCAGCTAGGTGGCACAGTGGAGTGCCAGGCCTGAAGTCAGGAAGACTCATCTCACAGAGTTCAAATCTGGCCTCAGACACTTACTAGCTGTGTAACCTTGGGCAAGTCACTTAACCCTATTTGCTTCAGTCTCCCCATCTGTAAAATGAGCTGGCAAAAGGAATGAAAAACCACTCCAGTATCTTTGCCAAGAAAACCCCAAATGGGGTCATGAAGAGTCAGACGCAACTGAAAGAAAACTGAACAGCAGCAGAACATAACAATATATGCATGTCGTCATATGTGTATGTATCTATACATATACAGGTATATATGGAATTTAGCAGGCCCCTCCCTATAACAAACAGTTAGCTCCTCTCTATTTTGTTGTGCTGTTGAATGTAGCTCACCATGTAACTTCAGCCTGCAGACATGTGTAGACAACTCCAAATCAAGTTAGCAGGTAATTGCGTGGACTTCTCTGTGTTTAGACCTTCCATCCATTCTGCTTGCAGACTGAGTGGTGGCTGAGATGCCCTGGGAGCCTGGGTTCAGGTGCAGACTTTGTCACTTGTTTGCTTAGCCAGCTCAATGTTAAGATTGTAACTTTAGAGATGAAAGAAAGCAGTCTTCTAGCTATGCTCCTCATTCCATAGATGGGGAAATGGAAGCCCAGAAAGTCATGGGTGTGTCCAGCCTCAAGAGGTCATCCAACTCTGGACTTTTTCCACTATAAAATATATCCTGGGCCTCAGTTTCCTCATTGGGAAAGTCAGGGGGCTGGGCTTAGATGAACTTGAGAGTCTCTTCTAGACCTAACCATGGTAACACATGTAAACTTGAGAGGCCCTAGTGGAAAGATTCTGGATTAGATTCAAGTCCCATCTTTATTCCTTATTAGCTGTATGATCTTAGGCAAGTCATTTCCTTTCAGGGTCTCAGTTTCCTCGTCTATAAAATGAAGATACTGGATTAGATGATTTCTAAGGTATTTTCCAACTCCAAATCTGTGTCCTTATGGTCTTGTGGCAGTGATATCAATAGAAATGGAGAGCCAGGAGGGAAGGAAAGATTTGGGGAGCCCAAGGGATCGATACAGTCTTTTTTTTCTTGCCGAAAAGCAAACCAGATCATTCTAACAAGACCAGACTGTGGCTGAAACGTCCTTGGCACCAAACTTAGGCAGGCTTGCTACAGGTAAGAGACTTGGCTTTCAGAGCTGTGGAACCACGAACTTGTTTAGGAGTGTGGGGGGAAGAGAGGAGGAGGAGTTCTCAACAAAGGCTCTTTATGGGGCAGAAAAAAGAACCGTGTGTTTTTCAGTGGGAAGCCACTTCTCCGTGGATGGCCCAGTGACTTTTTGCCCAAATTGTTTGCATCTCATTTGCAGTCTGGTTTGTGTTTATTCACTGTCTTCCCACAGCGTGACTCTGGCGAAATGCTGTACAATCAGACTCAAGTGTGGGGGAATTTTTCCACTGCAGCTTTCCAGATAAAGGCTTTCAAGAAAATAGCAGGCCCAGACCCAGGGGGTTGGTTAGAATAATTTCCAGCGGTTTCCTTAAGTGACCTTGTAAACTTTAGATTTCTTCAAGGAGTATGTGACTCGAAAACCCAGAAAAAGACAAATTTCTAGGATAATGAATCATAGAACATTAGTGGTGCAGAGAACATTAAAGGACCATCTAGTTTAATGCTCTCCTTTTAAAGGGGAGGAAAGTGAGGCCCCGGCGACAGAATATGGCATGAAATGGAGGAGGGGGGAAGAACTCAATTTGGATTTTGAGGCTCTAGAATTTGTTACCTGTCCAACTTTAAGCAAGTCACTTCCCTTCTGAAGGCCTCAGTTTTCTCATCTGTAAGATGAACTGGTTGGACTATGTATTCTTTAAGGTACCTTTCAGCTCTAAATCCTAGGATATTTCTAGGGGAAATGACTTATCCCAGGTCATATGTGTATAGTTGGTACCCTGTAAAATAACAACATGCCACCTAAATAGTAGTAACAAAGTCCCATCCCTTCTTGAAACATGAGTCTACTCTACAATATCCCTGAAAAGTGGTTATCTCTGGAGTTTCTACTTATAATAAGGCTCAGGTTCCTGACAAGTGGTTACTCACCCTTTGCTCGAACATCTCCAGTGCTGGAAAACTCACTACTTTCTCAGGTATAGAAGTCGAGTTATAGCATCAGCGACTTTTAGGACCTGAAAAGATCTCAGAGATCATCTTGTTGGGTGCCCTCATTCTACAGACGAAGAAACTGAGGCAACTACTTAATATCACTGTGCGATCACACATTAACTGCCTCAGTTTAATTCAGTATTGGTTCCAAATTCCAACTCAAGGCTGCTAATTTTCAACTCTATTATACCACAATACCCATTTTTAACAGTTTTAATTGCTTGCTTTTCAGCATTAAGGATTGCAGAAATCCATTGGACTCCCCAAAGCTGCCCCTAGCTCTTCTACTTCTGTTGACAGTACCACCATAGGAACAGAGGACCATAGGATCAGTCAGTCAGTCAATAATTGTTTATTATGCACTTACTGGCAAAATACAGGCAAAAAGAAAGATAAGTCAAGAGAATAAAGGGTGACTAATCTGGGCTTCCCCCGAAGTGGAGGTTCCAAGAAGAACTTAGCAGTGGGAGAAGGGAGCTGCAAGGGTAGAAGGCAGGGTAGGAGGCAGTTGAGTTATGGGGAGAGGGGTCTTACAGATAGATCATCAAACCCAACACCTTCATTTTATAGATGATGAAAATGAAGCTGAGAGGTTTAGTGACTTGTCCAAGGTAACCCAGTGAGTAATAGAGCTAGGATGGGGTCATGAGTTACTTGGTACAAAGTTACATAATCAACTAGACAACTTGTGTATTCATTGGCATGGCATAGTGGAGAGAACATTCTACCTGAAATTAGGAGACCTGGGTTTGAATTCTGGCTACAGTCTTGACTAACTACATGACACTGAGAAAGTATCTAGAACTTAGTTTCTTCATCTGTAAAATGGGAGTAATGCTTACAATCTCCACCTTGTAAGATTGTTCTCAGGAAACGTTTTGTGAACAATAACTCTCAAAGGAGAAATAAGAGCAATGGGAATACCTTAATGGCCACACATGTACATATCTAATGTGGCTCACATTTCTGGCTCTCAGAGCCTCGTCTATGAAGGGCCTTTCCAGCTGTGCGCGCATGGGTCTCTTGTATTGTTAACTTCTAGCATCTGCGCTTTCAGTTTTGGCAGAACCAAACAATTTTATGGAATAAAAGCCAGATTGTGTCAAAACTGTGTAAAAGTACCACCTGGCGCCCTGTGTATTCTGGATAGGTTTTAGTCGCAGGGACAATGGGTAGAAGCAGGTGGACTCACCAGTGTTCACATTCCTCTGGTCCTTGTGAAGAGTGCTGTGGGAATGGTCAGTAGAAAGAAGAGACCTGCGTCTCTCCAGGCATGTCGTGCTGTAAGCAAATACCAGAGTGAAAAACTGGACTTGTCTGAACACATTCAACCACCGTTAACTGAGCGACTGCTGTGTGCCCGGACTATGCCAGGACCTCAGGAAGACGTCTACCAACAAAGAAGAGATCATCCCTGTCGTCCTATGACAAACCAGCTTGTGGGGACACAACACAATATGGTGAATATTTCCTATGTGTCCTTTGAGTTCAGAGTAAGACACACAAAACAACGAGAAAGGACTCACATTTATAAATATTTGCATTTATGCATTAATCCTTTAGGATTCGTGATATTAATTTTTTATAATATAATAGTACTTAAAATTATATTATAATGGGATCATGAGATAGAGAGCTGGAAGGGAGTTTAGAGACTGTCTAGTGACTAGATTCAATTAGACTAGATTCTAGTTTAACCTTTTCATTATATATTTGGGGAAACTGAGGCCCAGAGGAGAGAAGTGAGTTTTAGAGATCACTCAACTAATAAGTATACGCACTGGGATTTGAACCCAGGTCATCTGGCTAAATCTATTCTTCACTACACCTTACTGCTCCTCATCTTAGGTGATCCTCTCACATGTGCTATGTAGTGGATGGTTTGAGTAGTAGGGAGATAAAGGAAAGAGGGAGGGAATAAGTATTTATATAGCACCTACTATGTGCCAGGCACTGTACTAAGTGCTTTAAAAATATTATCTCATTTGATCTGCACAACAATCCCATGAAGTAGGTGCTGTTATTATCCTCATTTTACAGTTGAGGAAACTGAGGCTAGTAGAGGTGACTTGGTCAGGGTCACATAGCTAGTGTCTGAGGCTGGATTTCAAAAAAAAGTCTTCCTGACTCCAGGTTCAGCATTCTATCCACTGGCCCCTACCTGCCCGCCTAGCAGAACCTTCATGTTGCAGACAGGGAAGTATAGATTCAGAAAGATTGTCAGGTCACATTTATCCCAAATGCCTGGGACTTGAGCTCACATCTTCTGACTGCAAGTTCATTGCCCTTTCCTTTAGTTCATACAGCATCAAGATAGGCCAGGAAAGAATCACGCGCTCCCACGTTTGAGACAAACTAAGAGAAGAGGGATGTGTGTGTGTGTGTGTGTGTGTATCTCAACAGTCAATGAGTCAATCAGTCGACAAGCACTTATTAAGCACCTACTATGTGCTAGGCATAGTATGAGAGTTGATCAGTGGGAAAGGCTTTCATGGAGGAGGCATGGATCTGAGCTGAACCACAGAAGGTTAAATAGAAGAATTGGGAAAAGCAGAAAGAAGAGGAATAGGCATTCTAGGTTGAAGAGGCAGGTGTAAAAGCAATGTTAGAAATCAAGTGGTTATTTGGTGTCGTGAGAACAATGCTAACCTAGGACCCGAGATCTGTGGGAAATGATAAGGTCCATGACCTCAGAGAGAACTGCAGAGAAAGACAGCACAAGGACAGCACCTGTGATTTCAATGGTATAGGGAATTCCCAGAAGTGGAAACTCCTTCTCCCTATGCAGATTGGCACCTTCACTGCAAGTCTCTAGTTGTCTGGGTCACAAAAAGGTAAAGTGACTTGCCCAAGTTCCCAGAACTGCTCAGTGGCAAGCTGGGACTAGAATTCTGGGCCAACGCTACCTCTTCCTACCTCCCTTCAGAATCAGACTCTACCGGCTAGTCACTTCATCACCCTCCTTCCATCCTAAGGCCATTAACCTCACATCATCATAGATTCAGAGCCGCAAGAATACATGGGGTCACACATTTAGAGCTAAAAGGGATCTCAGAGATCTCCTAGTCCAATCTCTACATTTTACAGATGAGAAAATGAGAGACTAGGGAAGGTAGGTGATTTACCCAGTGTAACCACACTGTATCTAGTTCCCCTAACCCCTAATCAGCACTTTTTTTGTTTTGGGTTTTTGTTTTTGTTTTTTGTTTTTTTTGGCTAGGCAATAGAGTTAAGTGACTTGCCCAGGGTCACAGCTGGAAAGTGTTATGTGTCTGAGGCCAGATTTGAACTCAGGTCCTCCTGAATCCAGGTCCGGGGCTCTATCCACTGCACCACCTAGCTGCCCCTAATCAGCACTTTTCCCAATGTACCTTAGAACTCATCTTGGTCAATCATTTCATTTTATTGAAGAAGTAATTGAGCCCCAGAGAAGTTAAATAATTTGCCCAGAATTTGAATCCATATCTACTGAATCTAAATCCAGTGCAGGGGGTTTCCCACTCTATCATGTTGCCTGTAACATCAATGTGTAATCTTTTTTTTTTTGGCAAGGCAATTGGGGTTAAATGACTTGCCCAGGGTCACGCAGCTAGTACGTGTCAAGTGTCTGGTCTGAGACCAGATTTGAACTCAGGTTCTCCTAACTCAAGGGCTGGTGCTCTCTCCACTGCACCACCTAGCTGCCCCTCAATGTGTAATTCTTTTTAAAAAAATCCCAAAGTTATGGAAAAATGAAGCAGTTATCTCTAATGTCCCTTCCAACTCTGAGATGCTGTAATTTTTAGATTGCATGAGCCTAAGATCCTATGAGGGGAGGGGACCTAAAAGAGCCTCAGAGTATCTGGCTTTTTGGAGAGCACAGAACTATTTGAAAGTCAAAAACTAAGAAATGATCATGGATTATAGAAGAAGGGTGGGGCCAAGGAAAGGATGACTCCCATTTGCACATCTCTGGTTAAACACCTAAGAACCTCACTTCATTTCCCCTTTTTTGGATCTTCTTGGAATCTTTAGATTTCAAACCTTCAGAAGAAACATTCTGCAGTTTACAATAGTCTTTCATGTTTTATGCCTTATATAGTGTCTAGTGCGCAGAGCACTCTAACATAGCCCCCAAGTGGTTAGACTATTCTACGGGCATGTGATTGATCTAAGAGACAGCTTAGTTTAGTGAAGAAAAGGTTGGATTCGGAGTCAGAAAATACCTGGGTTTCATATCCCTGCTCTGGTACTTACTAGCTGTGTGGCCATGGACAATCTTCTTAACCTCTCTGACCCTTAGGCAACTCTCTACAGTGTATCTCCCAAGTCACAGATAGGGTGTGATCTGCAAAAGATGAAATCATTGATCTTAAATATACTCCTGAAATATTGTACAGTAGAAAGGATGCTTACTGTGGGACTAAAGGGCCCTGGGTTCAGTTCTTGGCTCACCACCAAAGTATTGAGACCCTCAAATGTCTGTGCGTCATTTTCCCTCTTGCTGCCTCAGTTTCCTCTTCTGTAAAATGAGGGGGAACTGTGGATAACATGACCTCTAAGATTCTTTTGCACTCTAATATTTTATGATTCCTTAACAATGAAATAAAGTAAACTTTTGCCATCACCACCAAACCTCCCATTCTATATTTGTCTATAACTAGGTATTTCTGCATTTATGCCAGGATATTTTTATATTTGTGCTAGGATATGAGGCATTTTAGAAGTCAGAGCCCAGGTCTTTTCTATTCATAGCCTGAACAGATTTTGGCCCAGTGATGTGCAAATAAACTCTGAGTCTTCATCCCGTGTCAAGGCACCCTAACGGAGCAGAAAGTGCTGGAATTGAAGTCAGGAGTTTTTGAGTTCAAGGTCACTTGGTTTTGTCACTTGCTATGTGATTTAGGGCCAATTGAATTACCCCTCTAGTTCCATTTTCTCACCTAAAATCCCTCAAGATTTTGCCCTCCATCTTTTCTCTTTTTCAGGTTCTTAGAAAGTTATCCAACATTTCCTTCTTCTATTTCCTCCTGATGCACTTAACCACTTGTAACCTATCTCTACCACTCTACTGGAATTGTTCACTCAAAGATTAGCCACAATCTCCTAACTGCCAGATTTGATACAACCTCTCCTGATTAGTGCTCATTTTCCTTGGTCTCTTTGTAGCTCTTGGCACTATTGACCAACACTTCCTTCTAGATGTTCTCCCCTTTCTCGTCTTCTAGGCATTGCCCGCTATTGACTTTCCTCCTTGACCTCATCTTCCCATGGCCCCCACTTCTCCCCACCCCAGCGAGCACAGTGCCTGACACTAGTAGGAACTTTTAAGAAATATTTTTTCATGGATTGATTGTTTTCATCTGCTCCTATGGGGTCAATATATAGGGGACTTCTAAATTGATATATTAAGTCCTAGTCTCTTACTTGAACATCTCTCATCACTAGCTGTTTTGTTGGGTATCTCCGTCCAGATGGTTTGTCAGCATCTCAAACTCAAGACCAAAAAGAACTCATCGTTTCTGCCCTTAGACTTGTCCCTGCTGCCATGTTCCCATTTACCCAAGTTCATCACTTTGCAGTCATTCTTGACTATCGTCTCTCTGCCTTCCTTAAGTCTAGCATATCATTGTTTCCTCTGTGACATGTCTCACAACTGTCCCATTCTCTCCACTCACAGAGCCACCAACCTACTTACAAGTCCTCATTATCTGTCTTCTGAATGATTACAATTGTTTCCTGATTGGTCTGCCTGACTCCATGTTTGTACCACCCTCCATACTGCTGCCACCATAATCTTCCTAAGACACTGACCTGATCACATCACTCTCCTGCTTAAGAGCCTTCATTAGCTCCCTATTATCTCTAAGATAAATTACAAATTTCTCAAGCTAGTATTGATCCAGACTTTATCTCTCTTCAATCTGGCTCTAACCTATTTTTTCTTCCTTATTTCATATTATTCCTCTTTATATATTCTACATGCTATTAAAACTTGACTACTTTTCAATAAGCTTGGCATATTATCTCATGTTCTGTGCCTTAATCCAGGCCATCCCCCCCGTCTCAAATGCATATACAACCTCCTCAATTGCACCTTGTAGAATCCCCTTCCTCCAAGGCTCAGCTTAGGTGTCACCCCTTACATGAAGCTTTCCTTCTGTCTCAAGTGGTTAGTACTCTCTTCTTTCTCAAATTATCATATATTTCCTAATCTTATTTATTTTTATCTGGCCTGTGATTTCATTGGTGTAGGGAACTCATAGGTAAGGAAAAACTCTCTCTACCAATATGGGTCAGCACCTGCCCTGCAACTTACGATCTCAGAGGGTCACCTAAGATACTTAGTGGTGAAATGACTTGCCTAGGGTCACATAGTCAATATGTCCCAGAGGTGAAACCGGAGCCCAGATCTTCCTGACTCTAAATCCAGTACTCTATTCACTACACCAGCTTGACTCTGATGTTGTATTAAATGAGATGATCTACATAAAAGCTTTGCAAACCTTGGTGTTTTATAAATGTCGGCTCCCCCTCAGTAGGCAACTAGGTGGCAACAGAGTGCTGGGCATCAGGAAAACCAAAGTTCAAATTTGACACTTACTAGCTGTGTAACCCTGGGCAAGTCACTTACTTAGCCTCTCTGTGCCTCAGTTTCCTCATCTGTAAAATGGGGATAATAATCACACCTACCTCCCAGGGTTGTTGTGAGGATCAAATGAGATACTAATTATAAAATGCTTAACACAGTACCTAGCACAAAATAAGGGCTATATAAATGCTTATCTCTTTCTCCTTCTTCCTTTCCCCCTCCCAGTAGAAAGAAAGCTCCTTGAAGGCCATTGTTATTTTTGTCTTGTAAACTCAGCACTTAGTGTAGTGTCTTATATACAGGCAGTACTTCAAAAATGTTTTTCAAAATGAATTTAATTTACATAGAAACACTATAATTTATTATGTGTTCTCCACATGTAAAGGATTATTATTGAGACAGATCTAGATGAGTCAGGGCAGCTAGGTGGTGTAATGGATAGAGTGTTGGAGTCATGAAGACCTGCTTGTGAATCCTGCCTCAGACAAGATTTCTGGCTCTGTGACCCTAGGCAAATCATTTAGCCTTTCTAAGCGTCAGTTTCATCCTCTGAGAAAAAAAAATGTGTATGTGTACATATACATATATGTGTGTGTGTATATATGTATACATTTACATATGTATGCATATGTGTATATACATACATATGTCTATGTCTGTCTATCTATATCTATTTATCTATCATCTAAAGTTCTGGCCCCAAATCAAAAATTGCAATAATAGGAGGCTAAGATAGACAGGCATAGAACTCTCATACATAATATTATATAATAAGGGTAAACATAGTTGGAATTGGGCAACACAAAATGGGGGAGGGGGTGGAGGTGGGAACACCACCAGCCAGAGCACGAAGTGGGAGAATGTGAGGTGTATCCAGGGGCCAGAAATCCTTTGTGTTTGGCTGGAGCACAGAATGCATTGAGAAAGACTGGTATAAGATATGGCAGGAAAAGTAGGCTACAGAGCAGAGATATGCAGATCATGAAGTTTGAGTCTGGGCGTCAGGAATAGTTTATCTGCTTTCTACAGCGTGTATGGTTGATGAAAAAAAGAAGCCAGCTAGGTCACCCCACAGAAATGCTCATGATGTCAGTGGGCCATCAGCTGGAGCTGGTCTGGTTTGAATTAACTGGAAGGCTCTGAGCTACAAAGTATCTCAACACTTCTTTCAAAGCCTGGCTTTATCCTCCATTGCCCCTGGCACTCTGAAGTTGTTGCTGTGGGTGGGATTTTTGGTTGGGTTTGTATTCTGTTCCCTAGGGTCAAGGCTAGAAACTTGCTTCATGTATAGCTCCTATTTCTAATGCAATTTAATTTCCAAAATTTATTCCTCACAAAGACCTTCTGAAGGGGGCAAATGTGAGGACTGTTATCCCCATTTTCCAGATGAGGAAACTGAGATGATATTTAATTTCCTTTTGAGTTGATGGTGAAACTGACTGTTCTATTTGCTTCTCCAAGAAGAAACTGTGAGCTGTATTTCTGTTTGGCTACGCCTTTATGACTACTTGTGGTTTCTATGTGGGAAGAAACTTAACAAAGATGTGGTTTAATTCTTTCACTACTAGATCAACTCATTGGTCATTGGACCAAGATCTCACATTTATAGAGTTGTTTTTTTTTTGCCTTACTAATGTTGGTACTGCCTTTAAAAAACATAAATCATATTCTGATATGCTCTTTCATCCCCACTGAACCCTCCTTATAACAAAGGAAAGCAGTTAAGTGAAACTAGCATACAGATTGACTATGTCTGACAGCACAAACAACATTCCATACCCACAGTCCCCACTTCTCTATGGAGATATGTTTAAGGTTATTTAAAAAATAACTTTTGATAGCTTTTCTTTTGATATACCTACATTTCTCCCTCTTTCCCTTCCCATCCCCCTCCTGAAGATGTAAAGTGCTTTGTCCAAGGGTGACATAACTAGTAAATACCTGAAGTGGCATTTGAACTCAGGTCTTCTTGACTCTAAGCCCTTGACTATTTAGTGTTCTGGTAAATGTTTAACAACTGACTCTGGGGGGAAATGTAGGCATTTTTAAGTTCACTTTTAAGTTGAATCACCATTATTAGTATTTTCTCCATATCTTTCTTTTCTATAAATCAACAGCACAATGAATCAAGTCCTGATTTTCAGTATTTGCTGATTTCTGAGACGTAGATATTCACAGTGAAATTTTGACAAGCATCTCTCAGAGCCAGTAAACCCCCACCTACACAACATGAATGACCTGGGTCCATTTGGTTGATTTCTCACCTCTTTGTCTTACCTTTTTGCCCTGTCTTCATTCACAAAATATGGAAACTTTACAATCTGACACCACTCATGGTGGATGTCGTCATCATCTCCCCTTACAAGCAAACAGTTTACAAACTCGAGGAACAAAACATTTATTTGTAGGTCAATGAAAACAAAACGGACCTCATAAAAAATATGGCCACCTCCAAATGAGCTATGCTTCGCCAGAGTAATGCACTAGGTAGCATGGTACATCCTACTGCCATCTCTTGCCATAGCCCTTTACATTTGGTCATTTATCCTCATTGTCACCTCTCTTGTCATTAGCTCTCCCCAGATGTTGCCACTAATCTTTTCCTGAGAACAGCCTCTCTTGTCTGTGGTTCTCCATTCTTAGTACTGGGATGGTGTTGTTGTTGAGGGGAGCACTCAAGAGTGTCCCTCCAAGGCAGGATACCAAGGCTTTCTCTATATTACAGTTCAAAACAAGGATGCCAGGGGCAGGTTGCATCCACTCTGAAGCTTTCCCTTGCATTGTAATTCCTTGATCTCAACCCTCATGCAATAGTTCATCTGGGAGCCAGGAGTCAGGAACACATATTCTTTTCATCTCTAAGCTGCGTTCTTTGGTTGACACCAGGTGGGAAGAGAGTGATGTCATAGTCTGATATATTCTTTCCCCAATTTCCCATGTGTATTAATCCTTCCTATGAGCATAAAATGACCCCAATTTCTCTACAATTGTGTTTCAAACATGAGTTCTTCTGGGAGCAACTGAGTGGTGGACTAGTCATACTACTTAGGGGTTGCTTCCTACCATTGCTTGAGTAGAGTAAGAGAGTCAAACATTCTCATTACTGTACACTGAGATGACAGAAGAATGTGGGGGGAAGTCACCTCTATCACATACACAGCAGGGGAGAACAAGACAGGCCAGAAATAAAACTGAATTGGGCATCAGGACACCTGGTATGAATCTCATCTCTGCTACTTAGAAGCTGTGGGATCTTGGGAAAATCATTTTCCTTGGCTAAGGCTTAGTTTCTTCATCTGTAGAATGAATGGAGGAGGAGTTAGAGTATGGCCTAGAGAATGTTGTGGGTCTCTTTCAGCTCTAATGTTTTCTGATGCTTTAAGAATCAAATTTGATAATCATGTTTCAATTTACACACCTAGTCCACATTTGTTTGTTTAAAGAAGCTAATAGTTTGATCACATTTATACCTTTAATAAAGGAAATTTCTTTATATTTCATACATATTTGATTATCACAGAGGTTAAATTTGCCCCAGGAAGCACATTTAATGATCGATCATAGGCTAACTTACATTTTGACATCTTAGTGCATTCAGGATGTCTTCAATGTGGGTATTCTATTCCATGGGGTGGATTGTAACCCTTCACCTGCCAATACTCCCAATCAAAACAGACCTGAATTAAATAAATAACATCCCTTTAGAATAGAAGTGCATGCAAAAGGACATTTATGGAATTAGCTTTGTTTCCATTATGAGGTGATCAATCTTTACTTTAAAAAAGAAAGTATGTATCATGCTATAAGAAATGATAAGCAGGCAGATTTCAGAAAAAAACCTGGAAAGACTTACATGAACTGATGATAAATGAAGTGAGCAGAACCAGGAGAACATTGTACACCATAACAGCAACATTGTGAGATGACCAACTTCGATAGACTTAGCTCTTCTCAGCAATGCAGTGATCTAAGACAATTCCAAAAGACTCATGATGGAAAATGCTCTCCACATCAACAGAAAGATCTATGGAGTCTGAATGCAGATCAAAGCATATTATTTTCCCTTTTTTGTGTTTTCTTTCTTGTGGTTTTTCCCTTTTGTTCTGATTCTTCTTTCACAACATAATTAATGTGGAAATATTTTTAATATGATTGTACATGAATAGTCTACATCAGATCACTTGCTATCTTGAGGAGGGGGACGGAAAGGAGGGAGGGAGCAAAAAATTTGAAACTCAAAATCTTATAAACATGAATGTTGAAGACTAAAAAATAAATACTTAAAATATATTTAAAAAGTATGAATGGATTATATGTGTGCCTGTGTAATGATATGCTTATATATTTATGTGTGTGCATGTATAATCTCACAATATCTTACTGTACCATATTATACTTACTATATACTATAATGTAGTTTTATGTAGTATGATAGCACATTATAATACAAATAGAAAATATTATTAGACTCCACATAACATATAATATAATAAAGTAATGTGATTCAGCACAATATATATGTACACACCATATGTAAATTGTCTTTTTGCTACTCAACATGGTAGAGTGGAAACGCACTGTCCTGGGAATCAAGGAACCTGCCTTCTGGTCCTGCTTTGTCACTAACTCTCTGTGGGTGACCTGTGAGACTCCCAATCCCATTCTCCTTCTAAATGATGGTGCCGTTGTTCTTCCCTTCTTGTGTGCCAACAATTCAGGGTCTCTAGCCAGCTTTGGGCCCATGTACCTTACACTCTTCTGGGGACTCAATTTTGCAGTTCTGAAATAGTTCTCATTTGTCTTCTCCAGGCCTAAGTGTCCTTATCTATAAAATAAAATTAGACAATGTGATCACTAAGGTCCCTCCTGGCTCTGATATTCTCTAAGTCAATGAATCCCAAGTTTCAGTCTCTGAACACTTCTTCCTTTTTTCCCCTCTGACCATGTCATCCCCCAGATCAAATATGAACCCTCTATTTGTCATTCAAAGTCCTTCATAACTTGACTCCCCCACTACCTTTTCAGTTTTCTTATACGTTACTCCCAACCTGCCCACATCCCCTACAATTCAATGACACTGGCCTCTTCGTTCTTCCTCACACTAAACACTGACTCCAGGCATTCCTCTGGCTGTCCCTCATTCATGCCTGGGACTTTCGCCTTACTCATCTTCACCTCGTGCCTCTTCTGCCTTCCTTCAAGTCCCAGCTCAAATCCTACCTTGCATAGGAAGCTTTTTCCAATGCCGCTTAACATTGAATACCTCCAAATAATCCTGTATGTAACTTGTTTGTACATAGTTGTTTGCATATTGTTGTCCCTATTAGATTGTGAGCTCCTGGAGAGCCTGAGCTGTCTTCTATTTTTTTGTTTTCATTTATTCATTTATTTATTTATTCATTCATTTATTTACTTATTTTTAGTTTTCAACATTCACTTCCACAAGATTTGAGTTCCAAATATTCTCCCCATCTCATCCCTCTCCCCACCCCAAGATGGCATGCATTTTATATACCCCTTCTTCTAATCTGCCCTCCCTTCTATCCCTCCCCCCTTCTCTTATCCCCTTCCCCTTCTATTTTTCCGTAGGGCAGGATAGATTTCTATGCCCCATTTCCTGTATTTCTAATTTCCCAGTTGTATGTGAAAACAATTATTTTTTTAACATTTGTTTTTAAAACTTTGGGTTCCAAATTTTCTCTCTTCCTCTCTCCCCACCCACCCTCATTGAGAAGGCAAGCAACTTGATACAGGTTATACATGTGTAGTCATGCAAAACACTTCCATAGTAGTCATGTGAAAAATTAAGTATATTTCTCTTCATCCTATCCCCCCTCCATTTATTCTATTCTCTCTTTTGACTCTGTCCTTCCTCAGAAGTGTTTGCTTCTGGTTACCCACTCCCCCCGTCTGCCTTCCCCTCTATCATCCCCCTGCTCTCTCATCCCCTTTCCCCCCTATTTTCCTAGGGTAAGATAGGGTAAGATAGATTTCCACACCCAATTGTATGTTATTGCTCCTTAAGCCAAATCCTATGAGAATAAGATTCACTCATTCCCTCTCACCTTCCCCCATTTCCCCTCCACTGCAAAAGCCTTTTCTTGTCATTTCATGTCAGATATTTTACCCCATTCTACCTCTCCCTTTCTCCTTCTCCCAGTATAATCCTCTCTCACCCCTTAATTTTATTTTCCAGATATCACCTCTTCATCTTCAACTGACCCTGTGCCCTCTGTCTATCTATCTATGCATAAATATAATTTTTTCCCTCCCACTACCCTAATACTGACAAAGGACTCATGAGTTACAAATATCGTCTTTCCCTGCAGGAATGTAAACAGTTCAACCTTAATAAGTCTCTTATGATTTCTCTTTCCTGTTTACCTCTTCCATGTTTCACTTGAGTCTTGTATTTGAAAGTCAAATTTTCTTTTCAGCTCTGGTCTTTTCCACAGGAATGCTTGAAAGCCCCCTATTTCATTGAATAGCCATTTTTTACCCTGAAGGATTATACTCAGTTTTGCTGGGTAGGTGATTCTTGGTTGTAGTCCTATCTCCTTTGCCCTCCAGAATATCATACTCCATGCCTTCTGGACCCTTAATGTAGAAGCTGCTAGATCTTGTGTTATCCTGATTGTGTTTCCACAATACTTGAATTGTTTCTTTCTAGCTGCCTGCAATATTTTCTTCTTGACCTGGGAGTGCTAGAATTTGGCTACAATATTCCTAGGAGTTTTACTTTGGGGATCTCTTTCAAGAGGAGATCGGTGGATTCTTTCAATTTCTATTTTGCCCTCTGGTTCTAAAATATCAGGGCAGTTTTCCTTGATAATTTCTTGAAAGATGATGTCTAGGCTCCTTTTTTAATCATGGCTTTCAGATATTCCAGTAATTTTTATATTCTCTCTCCTGGATCTATTTTCCAGGTCAGTTATTTTTCCAATGAAATATTTCACATTGTTTTCTATTTTTTCATTCTTTTGGGTTTATTTTACAGTGTCTTGATTTCTCATAAAGTCACTAGCTTCCAATTGCTCTATTCTAATTTTAAAGGAAGTATTTTCTTCAGTAAGCTTTTGGACTTCCTTTTCCATTTGGCCAATTTTGCTTTTTAGGGCATTCTTCTCCTCTTTGGTTTTTTGGACCTCTTTGCCATTTGAGTTAGGCTATTTTTTAAGGTGTTATTTTCTTCAGTATTTTTTGGGGGGGGTCTCTTTTAGCAAGCTGTTGACTTGTTTTTCATGATTTTCTTGCATCACTCTCAGTTTTTCCTCTACTTCTCTTACTTGCTTCTCAAAATTCTTTTTGAGTTCTTCCATGGCCTGGGACCAATTCATATTTTTATTGGAGGCTTTGGATGTAGTAGCTTTGGCTTTGTTGTCTTCTTCTGGTTGTATGTTTTGATCTTCTTTGTCACCAAAGTAAGATGCTATGGTCTGACTCTTTTTGCGCTGCTTGCTCATGATCCCAGCCAATTACTTGAGTTATAAACTCTTTGTTAAGGTAGGTGTCTGCTTCCAGTGTGGAGAATATACTGTCACAAGCTTAAGGGGTTTTGTGCAGCTGTTTTCAGAGATACTTCTAGGGACCTGCAAATTTTCAGTTCTTCCAAGGTTCTATGATCAAGGATGAGGTGTTTATTCCTTTCCTGGCCTGTGCTCTGGTGTGTGAGTGATCACAAGCACTCTTTTCTGTCTTGGAACTGTGAAGAAGATTCCCTCTCCACTGTCACTAAAAGCTCCACCACGCCAGTGCTCTTCCTCACCCCAGGACCACCACCCAGAACTGTGACCCAGATCCAAGCACGGGCAAAGCAAGAGAATCCTACCTCAGCACCACCAAAGAGATTCCTGCAATCCCCCTCTGATCAGCCACTCGATTCCCCCTCAGTCTGTGGGCTGGAAGCTCTGGAGGCAGCCACTGCCCCGGGGCTGCAGGGACTGGGACCCACCGCTCTTCTCTCTCTCACCGCAGACACAGACTTTTCCCACTGACCTTCTAAGTTGTCTTTGCCGTTTGTGGATTGAGAAGTCTGGAAACCACCACAGCTGCTGGTGATTCAGTCCTCCGAGGCCTGCTCAGGTTCGCTGAGGCTGGCACGCCTACACCGAATTGCATTCCTCTCCCAGCCTGGTGAGATATACCTTTCTGTTCAATCATCCAGGCTGTCTTGGGCTGGAAATTTGTTTCACTCTGTCTTTTTGTGGGTTCTGCTGCTTTAGAATTTGTTCAGAGCCATTTTTTATAGGTATTTGGAGGGGTTTGGGGGAGAGCTCAAGCAAGTCACTGCTTTTACTCCGCTATCTTGGCTCCGCCCTGTCTCCTGTTTTTTTTTAATCTCCAATGCTTGGCATTGTGCCTGTAACATGGTAGGTGCTTAATGTTTCCTGACTGACTGCCTAATTAGCTACTTTAATAAGCACCAATTCAATCCATCCTCCTTGTTAGGAACATTTTAAGGAGTCAGTTCTTCAGTGGTCTATTTAACATGTCATTCTCCTTCACTGTCCCATAGAAACCAATGGCCAGCAAAGTTATATCCAAAACACAGCATCTCTGTAGCAGAATCTCCTCATGGACAACATATGATTTGCAATATATCCAATTCCATCCCCTCCAATCCAGTCCAACAAACATTCATCAAGCACTTATTATGTGCAAGCCATTGTGCTGAGTACTGAGGATACAGAGACAAAACAACAAAAAAAAAATAGTCTTTTCCTTAAGAGTCTACATAATACTGAAG